ACCGTACGTTCATTAAGTCGAGTTCTTTGACGTCATGGTCCGCCTCTCACAGAGTATAAAAACCGTACGTTCGTTAAGTCGAGTTCTTTGACGTCATGGTCTGCCTCTCACAGAGTATAAAAACCGTACGTTCGTTAAGTCGAGTTCTTTGACGTCATGGTCCGCCTCTGACGGAGTATAAAAACCGTACGTTCTTTAATTCGAGTTCTTTGACGTCATGGTCCGCCTCTGACGGAATATAAAAACCGTACGTTCATTAAGTCGAGTTCTTTGACGTCATGGTCCGCCTCTGACGGAATATAAAAAACGTACGTTCATTAAGTCGAGTTCTTTGATCACGCTTTCAACTTTTAGAACATTCCCCTTGGTGTTGTGCTGACAGAAACAAGTCCACAGATTATAGAAGGTTATAGACCTTGACTGAATATGCAAGAGAGATGGTGACGGCCAGAGGGAGGCCTTCAGGCACGGCCACCACCAGCACCGTCACACCGATGATGAAGAACTTGACCAGGAACTGCACGTAGATGGACGCACACTCAGCAGTCCACGGCAGCCCCTGAATGGAGAAGGTGTCGATCAGGAAGCGAGTGATGAGGATGATCACAGTGAACGTCGACATGAACAGGCCTGGAAACAGAGACAGATGAAATCTGTTGGTCTGGGTCTCAGTCAGTCAGAACATGGATGTTATGCAGCAGGTTAGACCTCCTTTCTTTCTTTTCAAGACCTTTCACCTCTCATCCAAAAGGCTTCTTCAGTTCTGATCAGGAACTGGCTGTTTTAGACCTATTATTACACTAAAAAAGATTGTCAGTCATGAGGCCCTGACCCACCAGCCTCCACTTTCAGAACACTCCAGGAATGAAGGAAAAACTCGAGAAGGAACCTGCAGACTTAGGAGCCATCTCGGCTCCACCCTGAGATCAGGGATGAAATGTTTATGAAAGACATCGGAACTCTTCCGATCATCCGTCTTCAGTTTCTGCAACTTTCACTTAAAGACTTTTAAATTCAAATTTAAGGTTTCATTCAACTTTAGTTCAACCTTCCTGCTGTAGGAGCAGAACGTGGCTGAACATCTGTCGGTTCATTCAGTCTGACAGCACTGCTGCATGATGGGAGACGTAGTGTTTCAGTGCAACGCAGAATGAATGAGCGCTGACAGAGCGTAGAAACACGTTCGTGGGAAAAACTAAAAAGTAATTAAATGTATTTTAAGACCTTTTTAGGCCTAAAATACTTTGTTTGTTGTCCGGGGTTCTTGGGACCCAAGGATCTCTCACGAGGTCTCAATAAAAGGAGCAAATGATAAATAATAATAAAAACAGCAAAGGCTGGCGTGATGAACAGGAACAAAACACATTAAATAGAAACATGACACGACAGGAGCTCAGAGGGGACCAGCAGGGAGACAAAGCTCCGTGTTAGGGTCCAAGTGAGCCGAGCCGAAGGTGTGACGTCAGCAGACTGCAGAGCAACGATTGGCTCAAGATCGCTGTCAATCACCTTCACAAGATTTACACCCACCTTTCTAAAAGCTTGGAACCACAACATTTGGTTTGAGATCTACTGTTTAAAAATACATGTTTATAATATGAGCAGCACGGTGGCGCAGCTGGTAGAGCTGCTGCCTCTCAGCGAGCAGGTCCCCGGTTCAAATCCCGGCCAGGGGCCTTTCTGGGTGGAGTTTGCATGTGCTCTCTGTGCTGCGTGGGTTTTCTCCAGGTACTTTGTTGTTGTTGTTATTATTGTAGTTGTTATTGTTATCATTATCATTATTGTTATTATTATTGTTGTTATTGTTGTTTTCTGTTTATACCTGCTTTGCCAATTTGCACAGCCAGTTTGGTCAGCTTCCCCTGCAGGACGGACTTCTCCTTCTTCGGCAGGTTTTTCTTCTTCTTGTGTTCTCCGTCCTCGTTGAGGAGTTGCGCCTCCTTCGTGGCTCCATCATTTCTCCGTGCCTCCTCCCTCCCTGGGACACAGACAGCTGACGTCTTTATGATCACAACTGAAAACTGATATTATTTTAGAGAACAAGACAATGTCTGACTGATCACCTCCATGTGCAGTGGAGGAGCCAGGGGGTGGGGGGTGTCAGTGGTGGCCTTGGCCCCCACAGAATATTCTTTGGCCACCTCAGTCATTTGTGTGCACAGTCTGGTTCCACCTCATGCACCACAAGTGGTGCGAATGACAATAAAGAACCTAGACCTCATTTGAGGAAGCTGGAATGCTCTTAAAGAATATAAAATCTAGAAAACATACTTTCCTCAAATGACGGGGTGGGCGGTTTCCGTATACATATGGTGGCGGCCATCTTGATTTTGACATGGCAACCCAATTCTTGATAGTGACCTTTCTTACACCTAGTTATAGCCACACCCCCAAATGGAAATCACTACCTCGTTTATTTTTCAGGTCATCATGCTCCCAACATGGGTAGACAAACAGGTGGAGAGAGGGTATTTCCACCACCCCCCCACCACCACCACCCTTCACTCAGGGGACAACAAACACACACAAACATGTCTGCCTTCACTTTTGTGCTGTGGGTGATGATACATCAAGTATCTGATCACAGGATGTTCTTTCACCCAATCACAGATTTAAACCATTAGCAGAGTCAACTGCTTTGTGTGTGTGTGTGTGTGTGTGTGTGGGGGGGGGGGGGGGGCTGCAAGCATGTGTTTGTGTGGTTGTGTGTGTGCGCGCACGTGCATCCCGATCTCATCTCTATAATGAGGTTATTAGCAGACAGGCAGGCAGGAAGCAGCAGGGAGGAGAAGAAGCAGCTGCCAAGCTTAAGGTTGATAATCTCCTTGGTCCTAATCACCATCAACAGAGTCAGGAGCACCTGCTGCTGCTCACACACACACTCTCACTGTATGGGCCTGCGAGGAACCATGAAGAACCAGGAGAACATGCAGCGAGCCGGGAAACTGAGGAGAACCAGGACTGTGTTCAAACTAAACTCAACAGATCATCATGAAATACAACCAGAGCTCAGTCAGCTGTGCTGAACTGTGAGACGGTGGAGAGGCGTTTCTTCAGAGAGTCGGAGTGTTTTATCATTCACACCTCATGTGGTACATGTGGTGGAACGAAATGATGTTCACAGGGTCCCAGTTACATCCAACAATAAAATGTAAAATGTATGTTTAAGCACTAATAGCTTAAAAACATTACATCGAACAGCAGCACGAACATGAGTCTGAGTGAGCAGATGAGCACACATGAACACAGCAACATGAAACAGATCAGCAGCAACATGAAACAGATCAGCAGCAACATGAAACTGATCAGCAGCAACATGAAACTGATCAGCAGCAACATGAAACAGATCAGCAGCAACATGAAACTGATCAGCAGCAACATGAAACTGATCAACAGCAACATGAAACAGATCAGCAGCAACATGAAACAGATCAGAAGCAACATGAAACAGATCAGCAGCAACATTGAAACAGATCAGCAGCAACATGAAACAGATCAGCAGCAACATTGAAACAGATCAGCAGCAACATGAAACAGATTAGCAGCAACATTGAAACAGATCAGCAGCAACATGAAACAGATCAGCAGCAACATGATGTGATTTTTCACAGTGATTATTCTGGTTAGGGGCCTTGCTCAAGGGCCCAGAGTGGGGCAAATGTGGGTGGAGGCAGGTGTGGGTGCTTCACCTTTTCACCCACATCTTGATGTTGTCTGTACCTGGAGTTGAACCATTCATCCAACCTTTATTTAGACAGATAAATCACATTGAGCCTTGAAGACTCATTTACAAGTGAGACCAGTTTGGACAAACAAAAAGTAGAGAAACTGGACACATGTAAGAGTTGGAGGCAAAAAAATTCCTATCAGACTTTTTCTTCTTGTCTGAGAAGAAAAAGTCTGATATTAAAAAACACCTCGCACAAACAAGTGCATAGTGACACAGACATTCTGCGGGGGGGGGGGGGGGGGGGGGGGGGGGGGGGGGGACAAGGAGAGCGGTGAGCATGATCATAGATGCTCTCGAGGTCACTGTAAGAGTTCTGATAAGGATGTGATTGTCAGCCAGTGTCCTCCGGTGAGATCCATAAACATTCTCGAGGGATGTCGAGGAATGGCCAAGAATAACGTCTGAGAATCCAAGTGTCCTGAAATGATGACACAAAGTTTATTCAGCTGGTTCCTCTGGTTATCAGTTGGAAATTCCTCAGGGAGGGGGTGGTGAGCATCAGATCACATGTTCTCCAGGTGAATTCAGATAAGGTGGCCTTCAAGGCCAGCCAAGGAGCCAAATTCAGATAAACACACAGTTGTTTTGGGGACAGGCAGAACTTAATGACATCTACCTTGAGTCTGTGTTGGTCCACTCGGTTCCGAAATGTCCACATTACATGGCCACACCGATGGAACATGACTGAGTAAAATCCCCAAGATCTGATCCATTCAGCACAAAGCATTTGAGTCTAGGTACTCGAGGCACGAACCAAGCCATCATAAAGGCAAGCAGCGTGATCGGGTCCAAATTTGCTGCAGAGGACTTCCTTGATTGTAGATAAAACCAGTAACCAGCCAAATCCAAAAAGCAGGAACCAGTTATCGAAAATCAAATTAAATAAGCGTCCTTAAAATCCATAGATGGCAGCAGAGATAGACACATCATCAAGTTTTCAAGTCGATGAGATATCCAGCTGCGTGCCAACAGGGCAAATCGTCTCGCCTAAAGCCTGTCTTCTCTTCGAAGAAAATATTGTCAATTGAGTTAAGGGACCAACTGGTCAGAACAAGTCCATAATTATGGTTCAGAAGATGCAAGAGAGGCTCAGAAGCAGTTTCACAGACAGACAGAGCAGCAAAGCAGAGAGGGAGGGAGAAGCATCCGACCTCGGTGAGAGCAAGTGGTTAAGTGACCATCACAGGCTTGTCTTCTCTGACCTCTGCCCCACTCGTATTTTTCTTTAAAAATAATAATAACAAAATAATATTTAATGTCATTGAAATTCAAAGTTAATGAATTTCATTGACAGTTTAGGCCTTCGCTGAATCAGTTTAATGAGTTTTAATTCTCTGTGCGTGAAACGTGGATCGTTTGTGTCATGGTGAATTCAACAGCTGTTAATTAGGGTTAGTCAGATGACTGTCAGCTGACAGTCATCTGACAGTCTGATGACTGTCAGATGACTGTCAGCTGACAGTCAGCTGACTGTCAGCACATAACCCGTTACGTTCTGTCAACAAACTGACGACACGTGACGGGCTGCTACCTTTCTTATTCTTCTCTTCTTGTTTACCTGTAAAAAAACACATGACTTTGATACAAACGAATAATAAAGTGTCACAATATTAATATTATAAGTAAAACCCTTCAGGCCACTAAATTCAAATGATGGCACCACTGGTGGGAATCTGGATTCCTCTACTGGTATTCAGAAAACATCTTGGTGTTACCAGTTCAATTAGAACGTTTCTGGAGAACTTTGACGGGACCTGCACGTGGCGGACATTTGAAAACGTTCATTGACCGTACCGTGTGTTGGGGCTCACTCTCAGATACCACCACACTAAATTATGGCAAAGAATCAATGAGTTCAAGTCTTTCATCTTTAAAGCTATGGCGGCCATCTTGAATGTTTAATTCATGATTTATTGGGCATTGCTCTCAGCTAACCCTCTCTTCGTGTTCATGAAGTCAGTCTGAGTGTGTGGATCTTAGTTTGGATCCTTAGAGTGGATCTCAGTAAACTTCTCTCAAACTTACTCTTCTTGTCCTTCTTCTTTTTCCTGTCTTCCTTCTTTTTGTCCTCGCCGTCTCCGTCACCGTCCTCACTGGCACCGAGCAGCGTGAAGATGATTCCAGTTTGTGAGCTCACGCCCACAGCCGTGACCACCATCTTGCCAGAGCCCTCCATCACGTGCGTGCCTGGAGAGAGGACGGTGAGAGAAGTGACAAATCTTTTTTATATAAAAGACACGCGGTGCGTCCAGGTCGTCCAGACGTGACGGAGCCGAGTGGATCTTCATGACTTGATTTCTGTTGTTGTCGCTGTGCTGCGTGGGATTCAACCACTGACCAAAAACATGCACGCTAGGCTGAAAGGTAGCTCTAAATTGTCTCTATGTGTCCCTGTGATGGACCGGAGACCTGTCCACATGTCCCTGTGCTGGACCTGTCCAGGTGTCCCTGTGATTTATTTTGTGCTAACAGCTCGACTGTGGTTTGGAGCAATGGACGCACCTGACAGCAGCATGGGGTCTTTGTCCAGACTCTTCTTGACGTGATCCGACTCCCCGGTCAGGGAGCTCTCATCGATTTTCAGATCGTTGCCCTGAATTAAAACTCCATCAGCCGGGAGGAGATCACCTGGAAGAGCAACACAGAGGTGGTCTACAGTCTGCTGCAGCGAGAAGATGGAGGAACAAACAGTCATTTAATGAAAAATGTCTCATGTGGTGTCTCTGTCCTCTGAGTCTCAGGTGAGTGAAGCACCAAGTCCGTGTGTGAGGATCTGAGCAGCGAATGTCTCTAGTTCATTCATTCAACCTTTACTTCTACAGGCTGGTCTCAGTGAGACACCAACACTCATTCACAACACAGACCTGATCCAGACACAACATGTGAAGTACACACAACAATAAACAACAACAAACTACAACAACAACAAACTACAACTACAACAAACTACAACTACAACAAACTACAACAACAACAAACTACAACTACAACAATAAACTACAACAACGATAAACTACAACTA